GAAAACACTTAAATTCTTTCAAATATTTATGAGGTAACATTATTTGAAACGACTGTAAGTAAGCACAGTATAAAAAAAAAACTTTTTTCCTTCATATATTATTCCTACTATGGATTAAAAATGTGGAACATATAATTTTGGTTGAACAATTTCAAGTGATTTTTGACCTGAACAATTTCAGAATCTTTTTTTGCTCTTTTTTTGTTTTCTGTTCAAATTTATTTTCATATTTATTTATTTTTTTTTTTTTTTTGCACTTGTCACGAAACTTTTATGATACTTAGAATGTTGTAGTGCCCCTAAAATTTTTTGCAAATTTTAGATGACTAAAGCAGATTTGTAATTAGTAAACAACCAACTTTTAGACAGACAATTTGAAGCGAACAACCACAGAAACAATTGACAGCCTAAAGCCTTAATGTCAACTGCCTTTTTTTTCCCCTTTTTTAGACGCCAATGATTTATTTGTCGGCTTCAGTCTTGATTGAAAAAAAAAAAAAAAAAACACTCTAATTTTACGAAAGATACTTGGATTAAAAACTTGATTAGGAACTGCCCTTCAAACTTATCCAGTTTGATATTTAACATATGGTTAAAAAAGCATCTTGGTCAAAACCGTTTCATGATGCTTACTGTTCTTCATTCTGCTTTTTTTTTCCTTTGTTTAGTGAATGTTTATTCTATATAAAAACTTTATTTTTTTTGAGGGGTAATAATTAGTAAAAACTTCTTTTTGTAGATGAGATAAAATCTTAAAGATTTAGCCATTAATAATTCAGATGTTGAATAAATTAACAGATAGAATTTGTTTTAACTTTTTTGAAAGCCCAAAAAGTCATCTTAATATGATTGAAACAATCTGTACATCTAAACTAAAGAAACCTTTCAATTGATATTCTAAACTTGCACTTAGCATTTCTAAATTAATAAAGGAAAGAAAGTATTAAGCAAGTATGACTTTGGTTTTTTTTTGGTAATAAAATAGCTCAATTTTGGTCAGGTAATTTTAGTGCTACTGTATTGGCTGTCAACGACCCTTTTTCACTGCTCTAAATTTACTATTACTTTTTAAATATTTGACAGTTATTCTGTTACTACTTAAATACAAAACTAGTAATATTTTTTTCAAAAATTAGTTGTTGTTAAAATTTATTGCATTTGCCTGTTATGTTTTTGATCTTCAACATATTGCTTCGCAACATTGATGACTACAACAGAATCAGAATTGTTTGCTGTTTTATGATACACTCAAATACTCAAATATCCAATTTACTATAATATGAAGAAATATTTCAAATTTAGCTGTTTTTTTTAGACTGACTTGCTTAATAACTGCAAAATTTTTGACTGCGTTTAAGCTGCTATATCATTCATTGATAGAATTTGTTTTGACTCTAAAGTAATGCCGTTGGTGATGTCAAATGATCAAGGATTTATGAATAGATGTTTTATGATAATGTTGAGAAAT